TTGCTGTAAAGGGGTAAAGGGGAACGACATGGTGGATTCTTCCCTTGTGCCCTTTTGAATTAAAGAAAAAATTTGGGTGTTCATAAGTTGTCTCCATGTCCACTTTAAACAAACTCAAAGGTTGCCCATCCCTAATATAGCATCTGTAAATTCAGTTTCAATGAATATTCTCTCCAGGATTTCTCTTTCCAAGACAAAAGCTGCCTGATCATCTAGCTTTTTAGAATTTAAAAAAATATTGGAACTTATTTTGAACTATTGTTATCAAGGGGCCTTGACCTCACAAGTACAAGTATAAAAACAGAGTGGACATTCCCAAGTTTAGTAACAGGACAAATATCGAACAACACTGAAGAGTCTCATGAAAGAAATTATTTTCTTTAATATGTGGTTTATGCATGCAGTACCCAGTCATAGTCATATAAACTCACTATGTATCTTATTATATCTTAACTAAATCCATGGTCAAGATATGATGAAGTCGCTCAAGCTACAAAGCAATACATTCAATACTTCTTGGATTCTATCAAGCTTAAGTGAGGTAAGATGGCCTAAATATATATCTGCCCTAATTTTGTTAATTTAGGTTGCAAAATTGAATTTAGAGCGAGTATTTAATCCATTTATGATTCGTGTAATTTTAATGCTAAGTTATTGAAACTTTAGGGTTTTAATTTTTGAAATGAGTGATTGGACAGAAGCTTTTTGGGACTTAGAGTATTGATTTAGAACCTTGGTTTTTCAAGAAAACCTGTGGATAACGCTCTCCAGCGGCGAAGCCAGACTTTTCGTCAAGTAGAGGCAATCTATGATCATAACATTGACATTATTTTTGCAAACACAATAATTAACGATATTTTTATAGGTCTAATTTCATTAAAAGAACAACAATTAGAGGCGAAAACCGTATAGACAAGCAATATACAAGAAATGCCAAAAGCAAAAACTTATTATAAAAATATTCACAAATGCCAAGATTTAAGACTATTTGAATAAACTACTTTTATAAGATCTAACTCCTTTATGTCACATTTATATCGTTCAATTTTCAAGAATGGAAAATTTTTCAATGAGATTGATACATAACCAATTAGATCATTTTTTAATTCAAATTCAATAATCAAAACTTTATTATTTGTTGTCGCAAAAAAATGGGCAACAATAACCAAAGCACTACTAACTATGTAATAATAAAGAAAATAACAGAAGTTTCAAAATAGAAGAAATAGTTTATGCATAATCTCTCGCAATCGCTTCAATAGAATATCTTAATATCTCGTTTCCACTAAAGCTATTCACTCAATTGACTGGATAAATGTCGATTGAATTCGAAAATAACGTCGAGAAGGCTAAAGAGAGGGAAGACAAAAAAAAGATAAGAAGAAAAGTACCTAAGAGAGAAAAATTCAAAAGAAGCGATATTTATAACGTATCATGTATAACATATGTTTACCAAGTTCGTATGTCATTTATTCAGGATAAGTGTCAAATTATTTATTTGAAGGGACTAATAAATTCACCAATTTATCACTCAATTTCACTAATGCTAAACCTCCATTAATTCTATGTCGCTTTCGTTGGTCATATTTAGAATTGTGAGTGCTAAAAGTAGGTTTTTCAAATTTGTCTAAATAAGAAAATTTTTGTCAAATACGAACGAAAGGGCAGAGATCAAGAGTTAAAGACAAAGGGTGTGGATAATGAGGCCGCCAAAGTTATAGTTTAATGGTTTTGAAATTACACTAACCAACCCTATATTTTATGAAAATTTCAGTGAGGGCAAGATTCAAAATTTTTTTAAATTTTCAAACTTTTATCTCAGTCCCAAATTTTTTTAAAATTCCAGTAAGGGCAACTGCCCCATTGTAGATCCATCACTGGCGCTCTCCAAGTGTAAGGACTTAGGAAATTGAACTGGGCTTGAAATAAGCTTAGTCACATAATTCGTCCTAAACTATACACTGTCTACTGCTTAGCGTGTTAATTTGCAACTTGAGAGTGAATCTGCCATACATTCACGAATCTACTTTACTAAATTCGCGAATTCACTATCCTAAATACACAAATTTAAAATTTGTACTACATCCCTTCAATCCGTTCAAAAAATAAAGCTTCATAGCTGCCACATCAAAAGCTGGCAAGTTACATGATTGCCTTTGCTAAACAGCTAAGGCCGCACGTTATCTACTCCAACTATGGCCCAAGTGAATGTTTTGTAGGCTTCTTGCATTGCCATTTTCTCACATCTTTCTGATTATGGGATAAGTGCGCAAGCCATAAAAATAAGTTTCTTGTTCTATTGTTCACCAATCTATTTCCACGTGGATTTAAAAGCCAAATCACTAGTAATAAATTTAAATAATTTAGGGCAAACTTCACTTTACCCCTCTATGGTATACCCGATATACACTTTACCTCCCTACGTTTTAGAAACCTCCACATAACCCTCACATGCTTAATGGACTAAACTGCAATGTCAACGCCATTAATGGCAAAGAACAAATGTCCATAATGCCCTCATATTTATATGTGCCCTAGTGGAGTAGAGCCAGTCACATTGGTCGGGAGTTCTCCGTTTGTACACATGGAGATGGAATTGTGGGAAAAATTCCACGGTTAGACATATCGATAAGAGCCAAAAAAAATTCTTCAAGAGCCGTAGATCCAAATCCTGTGTGAATGATCCATGTTGAACAGCTTCTAATTCGAAGAAATTATTTGCTAAGACTATTAATCAGACAAAAGAAGTCATTTGCTACGACCTAAGGTACGTTTGCACCAATTTTTTTTCAAATGGAGTTATTCTTTTGACAATTGCAAGTAAGTTTGTTGGCTAAGTGATGACAGATTTTGAATTGTTAGCAATTTATATGTTTTGGGTCATGTTGGGTTTGATTATTATATTGGATGGGTAAGTTGTCCCAGCGTATGAGTTTTTTGGGGGGTTAGTTTATGGGTTGTCCACCAATGGTGAATGTTTGAACACAACAATTTGATGTTGGTCCGATTTGGTATTTTTTATGTCTTAAAATTTTGTAGATTAGTGAAATTGTTTGTTTTCAAGGAGTCAATATTGTGGAAGAAATTAAAAAAATAAATTACATAAGCTGGATCCCAAGGAGTCCATACCTGTTTTACTGCCAGCTTCCTTCTGTATTCAATATCATTTGAACAAAATGATGTTGCATACCTTTTAAGTATGGAAAACTGTGGATAGTTTGGTCTTTTGTCATTGACATTTTGGAGGGTAACCTTTTATTAGCTGACCCAGTTGCAAGAATAAAAAATGAGCCACACGCACTATCAACTTGGACGGAATCATTGACATTACAGTTTAGTCCACTAAGCATGTGAGAGTTACGTAGAGGTTTCTAAAACGCAAGGAGGTAAAGTGCATTTGGAATATATCACAAGGGGGTAAAATGAAGTTTGCCCAATAATGTATTATATATTTGTATACAAATTTAAATTTTGTTAACTTTTATGTATGTAAATATACTTATATGTATATAATATGACGTTGTTAAGGCGCTCCCGTTCTAACATTTAATTTTTGTTAACTTTTATGCGCTCCCGCTCTTGCTCTCTGGCTGCAGAATTGAATTCCATTTGGCAACGCCTCCAGTACTCTGTATAGTGCTTGATAAGACTTATTCAACCCCCCCCCCTCTCTCCCTCCCTCTAGGTCACACTTCACTATTTAGTCTTCTACCTCATATTTTGCACTTGTACATTTATCCACGTCATAAATTAAACTGTAAGTCACAAGATTATAATAGAGTATCTTGCCTGTTGAGGATACTGTATGTAACCAGGGTATGCACCATAAGGATATAAAGAAGGATCTTGAGTTGCTCCATAAGCATAGGCATCATAACCCTGTCCATAAGGACCATAACCATAATATGCACTGCTCCATTGAGTTGGATCTGCCTGCTGACCCCAAATACCAGGTAGGTCCTACAAGACAATATCATATGATTTTTAAAAGTAGGCATTCACCAACAAGATGAGTAAAAGTAACAAATTAGTTGAGCATGTGATAAGGCTAATCAAACCCATTCCTTTCTTTTTTCTTTGTTATTCCTAAATTTATTTTCTAATAAGCTTGTCTCTAAATAACATCTAAGGACAAAGCTAAATAACATATGAGATGCAGATGTTAGAGCACCTTTAGATATTTAATATTAGGGGTAGTTTAGTTGTTTCATTTATTTTGTATTGCCCTACTATATATAAAGGCTTGAGCAAATAATATTTTCTAGCAGTAGATGCTAACAGATATCAAAGGTTAATAGGGATAGTTTAAACCAGCTTGCTAGGCCAATTATAATCACCCTTCATTTATAGAAATCAAATAGCCGTATTTCTAATGTCACAGTTGCCTTTAATGATTCTCTTACAGATTAACCTTCANATGTTGCATACCTTTTAAGTATGGAAAACTGTGGATAGTTTGGTCTTTTGTCATTGACATTTTGGAGGGTAACCTTTTATTAGCTGACCCAGTTGCAAGAATAAAAAATGAGCCACACGCACTATCAACTTGGACGGAATCATTGACATTACAGTTTAGTCCACTAAGCATGTGAGAGTTACGTAGAGGTTTCTAAAACGCAAGGAGGTAAAGTGCATTTGGAATATATCACAAGGGGGTAAAATGAAGTTTGCCCAATAATGTATTATATATTTGTATACAAATTTAAATTTTGTTAACTTTTATGTATGTAAATATACTTATATGTATATAATATGACGTTGTTAAGGCGCTCCCGTTCTAACATTTAATTTTTGTTAACTTTTATGCGCTCCCGCTCTTGCTCTCTGGCTGCAGAATTGAATTCCATTTGGCAACGCCTCCAGTACTCTGTATAGTGCTTGATAAGACTTATTCAACCCCCCCCCCTCTCTCCCTCCCTCTAGGTCACACTTCACTATTTAGTCTTCTACCTCATATTTTGCACTTGTACATTTATCCACGTCATAAATTAAACTGTAAGTCACAAGATTATAATAGAGTATCTTGCCTGTTGAGGATACTGTATGTAACCAGGGTATGCACCATAAGGATATAAAGAAGGATCTTGAGTTGCTCCATAAGCATAGGCATCATAACCCTGTCCATAAGGACCATAACCATAATATGCACTGCTCCATTGAGTTGGATCTGCCTGCTGACCCCAAATACCAGGTAGGTCCTACAAGACAATATCATATGATTTTTAAAAGTAGGCATTCACCAACAAGATGAGTAAAAGTAACAAATTAGTTGAGCATGTGATAAGGCTAATCAAACCCATTCCTTTCTTTTTTCTTTGTTATTCCTAAATTTATTTTCTAATAAGCTTGTCTCTAAATAACATCTAAGGACAAAGCTAAATAACATATGAGATGCAGATGTTAGAGCACCTTTAGATATTTAATATTAGGGGTAGTTTAGTTGTTTCATTTATTTTGTATTGCCCTACTATATATAAAGGCTTGAGCAAATAATATTTTCTAGCAGTAGATGCTAACAGATATCAAAGGTTAATAGGGATAGTTTAAACCAGCTTGCTAGGCCAATTATAATCACCCTTCATTTATAGAAATCAAATAGCCGTATTTCTAATGTCACAGTTGCCTTTAATGATTCTCTTACAGATTAACCTTCAACCCCACATGGCATGCTATCCTCCAGCTAAATATATATAACTCATTTGATGTCATTCTCCATTTTGTGATTTTGACCAATTACTTTGTTTCCCAAATGCTTTACTGGCTTTGAATTAGAAAGGTTTCACATTCATAGCCAATGAATATTCTTCACGCTGAATATATCATACTTAAAATCCCCAAGTGAGCAATTGCTAAAAATAAGCAATCTAAAAAGAAATCCACCTGTTTAGCTGTTGGACTCCGGCCCCAAGAAAGGCGTACTACTTGTTGACCAATCTGAGTTCCATGCATCCTTTGGATCGCTTCTTCAGCAGATGTCCTGCACAAATGATGAAATAATCTGATATGAGAGAAATTGGTTACAAGCAAAGCAGAAGGAAGGTCAAATACAGGAGTTTTGCCAAAAAATAGACCTGGCTACAAACTGCACAAAACCACATCCCCTAGCTGCCGGGATCTTGACATAGACAATTTCCCCAAACTGTGAAAACATATGCTTCAACTCCTCTTCAGTAACATTAGGGTCCAAATTACCAATAAAAATCTGCAACAAATAAAGCTCATCAAAAATAATAATAGAAAGTGAAGAGACAAGACATATGAAGCCACAAATTTCAAGTATTTCACTTACTGTGGTGTTATTTATATCATTATCTACAGGAGTTGTCGGCATCACTGGAGCTGGAGCGTAAAGTGGAGCTGGATACAATGCTGTCAAATAAAACCTTAAGGTAAGTCTGTATTGACTCTAGAAAAAAAATTAAAGCAAGAGAATTGTCCATATGTGCACCACATTCATCTCCTATGCAAGGACTCGAAAGTTTATCAGCATGTCACATATTGTCCAAGTAATTTGATACTTAAGAAGCTAGCCGAAAGAGGATCCATGCATGATAGAATTGACACCAATTGAAATGTGAGCTTGTCTTATGATACATCCCCATAGGAGAACCCAAAAAATATAATAACTCGTACATATAAAAATCCAATAAGCAAACAAAGTAATATATTGACATATCATCCATATAATGATAAAATTAACCCCATTAACGTATCAAAACATCATCTGATCATGCTAAACAAATCTCACTTAAAGAAATATATTATATTCTATAGCTTCCAAGGTATTTTTTTCATGTTCCATTCGAAGAGTAGGTCCAAAACACTTCTTTGCATCACCATGTATCAAGTTTTGAAACTGATTGGGTTTTTTCAAATACCATCATTTCAATAGCATATGTTAAATTTTCTGCTTCTTTACTCCTAATTGTATTTGCATTATTGCATAAGTTTCTTCATTGACCCCATGACAATTGTATGAAATGTTTACTTTCTTAATATTTAATGTTTGGCAATGTATTCATATTTTGGGAGGACATGTATTGGTTTAGAGAAGTCATTGTGATTAGGGAAAGATCCTGGGCTAAGAGATCTTTTGGGGGTTACCGAGGTAAAGATTGGTCACAAAGACACGTCCTATCAGCAAGATTTCGATTTCTACAACAGATGCTCTTAATACGTTATATTTGTATGAGAGTCAAAGCAAACCAGAAACTTGACTGGGTTACTGTAGCATAATCATGTTCTTGAAAGGAGAGAGACAGAGGATTGACTTCAAACTTATAATACCTTTCTACAAGGAATGTAAGAACGCACGGCTCCCCTTTTGAGTTCCCCCTTCACAGCCGTGGTAGGGCAGTGTTGTTCTCCTTTAGGTGAAATTCCAGAATTCAATCATTGCAGAAGAAAGGTATAACAGTTAGGAACCGGAATATGATGAAGCCTTTAAGTTTGCAGATTAGTGTTTGTTGTCCCAAATAATATATATAGACGACAATGACAAAGACAAAAGATGTTGAAGGATTAGGTGCAAACTTGAAAAGAATTTCTCTCTTTCAAACTATGGTGTTACAAGAGGGAACCAGTTCACTGAATCATCAGAGGCACAACCAGTCAAAACTGAAGCATTAAATTGCACACCTCAAGCTCGGCTCAATAATTCCATTTGAGCAAGGATCGAAATTTCGTTTCGGTGTATTATTTTGAGTACCTAGAAAACCGAAATGTTTAAGAAATTTTTTGAAAAAGTTTCGGAAACAGAATAAAAAATTTTGGAAATTTATTTTTAAAAAATTCCAAATCATTGGTAAAAATTATCGAAACATTGATAGACACATATCGAAACATCTCTAATGTAGGACAACGGTGAATTAAAAAAATCAGCATTGTTTATGGGGCTATGAATGGTATCTTGAACAGTAAATTATGGGTTGGTTGTGTTATTTTGTGGGTTAGGGATTGATGGATTATTTGGAACAAGGACGGGGCTTTGTGGACCCCCTTTAAGGATATAAAAAACAAATCAAGTCTGATTATGAGGTTTAGACCTTGAATACTTGTAAAAAAGTAGAAGAAAAGATCTAGGAATCACTCTAAGGGTCAATTAGGCATCACACTTAAGGTTATGAATTGCATCTCACAATTCCCATAGCATTTACCAGCTGGAATTTTCTGAAATATATATCTCCCCTTCAAATTAAAACATTACATCTTTATATATAGACCTCAAAGTATTTCTAATCTCAAAAGAATTAGGACTCCAAAGACTCTAGGATTCCATGAACTCTAAGACAACAAAGATTCTCAATTACATGTAGATTAGAAAACTAATATAGATTAGAACTAGGACTCTAAATTCTAGAGTATTCAACACTAGAATTTAACCCAAAAGACGAGCCAGGATCGGACTATGACCTCTTCCAGTAAATCTAGAAATTACACAAATACCATTAACTCTTAAAAAAATATTAAAATAACTAATAAAATACTAATACTGGCAAAGTAACTCAAAATAAAAGTCAAAATACAATAATGCAAGTTTTCATATGAATCTTTGTCTTGATGGGAAGCCAAATTTCATACCTCTTCATGTCTTTGAATTTGTCTCTACTTGAGCATCTTATGGATATGGGTTGACAATGTTATTTTGTGGGTTAGGGTTTGATCGATTGTTTGAAAAAGATGAACCACCTTTAAAGATATAAAAAATAAATTTTTAGGTCTAATTATGAGGATTAGAACTTGAATAATTATAGAAAAATCAAAGTAGCAAACAAGAAGGAAAAAATTAGAAATCACTCCTAGACTTAATTAGGCATCACACCTAGGGTTGTGAATTGCATCTCACAATTCCCATAGCATTTATCTGCTGAGTTTTTTTTCTGAAAAATATCTCTCTCTTTAAATAAAGTTTTACATCTTTATATATAGACCTCCAAGTATTTTTTAATCCCAAAAAGATTAGGACTCCAACACTCCAAAGACTCCCGATTACATGTAGATTAGGAACTAATCTAGATTAGACCTAGAGCTCTAAATTTTAGAGCATCAAACACTAGCATTCAACCCAAGGATTAGACTATCACTGGTTCCAACAAATCTAAAAATTAAAAAAAAAACCCTTGGTAATGAAAAATATTAAAAGGATATATAAAATACTAATACTAGCAAATTGATTCAAACTAACTCATTGTTTTAATAGCAAGCCAAATTTCATAATTCTTCGTGTCTTTGAATTTGACTCTTCTTGAGCATCTCATGAATTGCATCAGCTTCGAAACATTTCTGAAACACTTGGAACTATTAGAATTTCAATTGAATCACTAATTTATTTCGACCACCTTGAAACCGAAAATGTTTTCGCCATTTCAACAATTTTAAAACGATATTTTGATCCTTGCATGTGAGGATCCTAGAGATGCAAAGGTTGGGCTAGATTAAAATGGCAACTGGAGATTTTAAGCTTATGAATTTCGTAAAAAGAAAAACAAACATTATCTCCTTATTTCTGCTATAAGGGCATTAAATTAAATTATATTAATTTAGACCCAAAAAACCCACCAAATTCCAAGTTCGTACTATGCACCATCATTAGTACATTTTTGAAATTGTTTTTTAAGAACAAGACGCTATATAAGTATGTGGTTAATAAAAATGCAGCAAAAATCACAGACATAGCAACTACAAAAGAGTCAAATATGTGGACCTTGACCAATCGGCCTTTCAAAAAAATAAGGTCCTGATTCATACATCATATCTAGAAGTACTTCACAAAAAATAAAAGGCCGAAAAAGCCATTTTTCTTATCAAAGAGAACATCATATGACCTGCACGTAGCCATAGAATACATGGCCCTATGTGTCAAACTAAGACTGTCCAATATAGCCAACAAACATGCATGGCTACAACTCTTAGATGATTATTAGGCAACATATTGTACAGTGGCCTCAGGAAAATCTAGATAAGTGCATTTGGGTTAAAGACAATGCAATACACAACCATTAGCAAAGAGTCAAAGACTAGTCTCTTGGAGGCATTACAAGTATCCATGGACACAACAATTCGTTAGCATATTCCCAAACTATGTGTCTGAACAACTGCAAATATCCTACAAGAAATGATTCTATGTTGATTTGGAGGAGTGTCTGATGTACGTAGCCTTAACATTTGTGCACGGAATGGCTATTTTCATAACTCTAACATGAGACGCCCAAATTGCTGCAACCAACATTGCGCCAAAGGCCTGCCCTCAGAAGAGTATAAAATAACCAATAGCACTGTAGCAGGTTTATTTATGTGAACCTTCTTTCCTTTGCTGAGTTTTTTATCTTCAATAAAACTAGAATAACTTTCAAGAGTCCCATTTCAGTCTTAAATGAATCGTAGTTTGTACTTTATGATAAGAGTCATCTAATACGCAAAGGAAAATACTTACTAGTAGCAGACACCTTTGGGATAATATGTGCAGTTAAACTCCCCAGAGTTAGGCCTTAAAACAGTGGCCCGGATTATCTTTTTTGTCCCAGAGATCAATAAGAGTCACTAATACTTTTTTTTTTCTTGGATGATGAAGTACCGCCATTTCTCTCAATTATTCATTTTCATCATCCATAGCTTTTCTAGCCATGAGAGCACGCAACATAATATAAACCAAGAAATGTTTTTTCGTTTTTTTTTCCATTATAAAAGGAAGGATGAAACTTGATACCATGAGCCATTTTCACAATCCAAAAAGGCAAAGTATAGGCAAAAACTACAAGAGAAGAACTCAGCTGATTTCAAAAAGCATATTTGTAACAGATACTTCACAATAACCCAATCGTCGTATGCAAATTAATAACCACTCTGCAAGATGAATTTAGTTCTAGCAGGAATTTCAAGAAATCACCTTTAGCCGTTGCATATTGCTGCTGGAAACCAGCAGTCTTCTTCGGTGTTGCTGCACTAATACGCATCGGCCTAGTTGAGCAATACATACCATTCATTTCAGTCATAGCACGGTTCCGCTCCATCTCATCAGCAAATTTAACAAAGCCATAACCCTTGGAGCGTCCAGTACTTGGATCAGTCACAACCTTGGCTCCTCTAACCGATGGATATTGAGCTCGGAAGGTCTCTTGCAACAAATAGTCTGTAACATCAGGAGCTAAATCCCCTACAAAAATAGAATGCTCTGGCCCAGCATCAGGACGTCTTTCTCCGATCCCAAAAGATGCCCAATTCAACCTAAAAGTCACTTCAGTTCCATGAATTTGTGTTCCATTATATGACTGCAGAATCCTTTCAGCTGTTGCATGTGAAGTAAATTCCACAAACCCATAACCTTCTGGTTGGCCAGTGATCTTGTTACGAATTACCTTTATTGAAAGCACCTACATAGAGCATAGTAGTCACAATACATTCATTAGATGAGCTAAAATGGTCAAAAGTGAACATCTTTCTTCTCAATTAGTTCGATTACGTCTGGTGATCAGTTATGGGATATTCTTACAAAACAATTCGCTCGATTTGGTTTTGATAATCTTGGTTCTACGCTAGGCACTTTTTATTTTTATGCTCCAGCGTGTGGTGGAGTATTAGACTACTTAACTTTAATTTATGTTATTAGCCATAAGTTGGAACAGGGCTCAATACTTGTTTAATATAAATAAGATGGTCTAGGGCAATATAGCCGCTACACACAAATTATTCTTCCTCTCTATTTCTTATCTCTTTTTTCTTCTCTTTCTCCTTCACAAACCCTAATCCCAATTTCACTTATTAACTAATTGGTCTCTATTTGGTTTCCTTTTGCTAAAATGTAAAAAGAACAAAGAATATCATTGTCTCATAATGTATAAAATATTTCTAGCACACCTTTTAATCCAATTTGAATATAATTATGTTGCAACAATCTGACCTTATGTCACGTACAAAAGATTATAACAAAAATTTCTTACTTGCTCTGGTACCAAGCTAATATAAGCGGAATGAGTTTTCGGTTTCTACACAATAAAACTCATACCTAGCTTAATAGCTTTAAGCTATGTTAGTGATGAGTCTGTTTCCTAAGGCCATCCAAGAGTGAAAGCCCAAAAGACAAATTTCCGGTCTCATTATCCCGGCCATTGGTTAGAAACCTAAAAAAGTACAACCATCATGATCTCAATTGAATTCACACTATTTATGCCCAAAAAAATTTGCAAACAGACCCTAAAACACACGAGGACATTTTTATGGTTGTGTTTCATGGTGCCATCACCATTTTAAATTTCGCACCACTGACTGGGAAGTACAAACATGGACACTCACACAAGCCGCTACAAATAACGGCGTTGCAGATAAAATCCTATACTTGACAACCATATAAAAGTATAATCATAAAATATAAGGAAATTACTATTTTATGATAATTAAATGTTTCTCCCTTCTTTCCATTCTTCATTTGTGAGTGAACATATGGTGGGCCAAGGGGTCGCTTAGTGCCCTGCTCTAAGATTACCTAACCTAGCTTATTTTTCTTTTCTCTTTTTCCTTCCTTCCTTCCTTCTCTTCTCACATTCCCTCTAATCAGGCTAAAGGCAAAGACCCACTATTCATCTACCATCAGCTTAATATATATTAAAATAATAGAAGTGCATAACCCACCATATGTTCGATAGAATGCTCGTGAGATTTGGTTACATCAGACAGCAATTCGATTCTAACATCCCCGTGGGATCTCCACATACTTCATGTATATCCCAAAATCAAAACCGCCATCAAACGTCTGGTGAGACGGCACTATGGTTCTCTAAAACCCATTTACAACGTACATTTCTGGCTATTAATGATCTAGAAATCAATTCTTATTTGAATAAATCACCACAAAACGCATTGTATAATTCGAAAAATGGCTCTTCACCTGACATTAAAAGAAATAACAGAAACGTGATACCCAATAGAGATAGATACACAGATATTTAGATAGAGAGAGAGAGAGAGAGTAAAAGAATATACCTCGCCTGTATGAGCGAACCAGCTGTGAAGGTAGGACTCGTCGGCCCAGTAGGGCAAATCCCCAATCCAAAGGGTCCGGACTTCTTCAAGTGACATAGGTTGGTGATACGGTAGCGAAGACGACATCATTGGTGTAGCCATGGTTGTTGGAGCTGATGGATAGTGTTGCCCGCTCATCGTTCACTTGAATCACTTCTGTTACTAGCGTGCCTGCGTTTCGACTCCTCCTCCTCCACTCTTTGCCCTCTCTCTCTCTCTCTCTCTCTCTCTCCCTCGTTAATTTATAGTTTCTCTTGTTGATGCTTGGTGTTATGGGCCTTATGGCACTGGAGCTGTATTCGGCCTACTTTTTGAGTAATGCTACGGATTTTCAAATGTGACCCTTAATNCGTGCCTGCGTTTCGACTCCTCCTCCTCCACTCTTTGCCCTCTCTCTCTCTCTCTCTGTCTCTCTCTCTCTCTCTCCCTCGTTAATTTATAGTTTCTCCTGTTGATGCTTGGTGTTATGGGCCTTATGGCAGTGGAGCTGTATTCGGCCTACTTTTTGAGTAATGCTACGGATTTTCAAATGTGACCCTTAATTTTGGTCCCTATCATTAGTACTAGTTTTTTGAATTAGGTATTTTTTTTTTCTTTCTTTTGGTTCAACGGTGAGAAATATCCATATTAATATATACACATTTTTACTAATTTGTTTCCTGATTAAATTGAAGGCAAATTTTTTATATTGAGATTAGAATATTTATAAATAATAAATCTCTCATTACCCAACCTTAATAAGTTGCTAAGATTTAAATTCAATATGTCTAAATTTACAGCTCATTTTTATTATTATTTAAACTATACTTAGATGTTTGAATCGGATATTTGGTCTAATGTTACATTTTATATTTGTGTGTGTACTAATTTAGTCTAATTTAATTTATTTAATTATATTAAACATTTTGATACTAGTTTAACACGTTTATTATCGTATTTTATTGAAATTAACCTCAATAACTCACCAACTAAAAATTTAATATTAACATTCCATTATTGATTGGCCAAATCCATCTCTCATATTTTGTTCATAGGCCAAAAATCTATTTAAGTTCATATAATATCAAAAAAAAAAAGTAAAAAATTGCCGTCATTTATAAATGCATGTCAATAAGTGATAAAAATTAATTAATTTATTCATTCAACACAAATTTATTTAACACTACTTAACCCATATTCGTGTTAGTATGTCGTATTATTTTCGAGTTTTTGTTGAAAATTAACTAATTATAATCTATTAATTTCATATCAATTTTGAATTATTTTAATATGTCATATTCAAAACTATCACCTAGGTGTTACCTAAAAAACAATTGGCAATTGGGACAACAACATTTCATACTAATGTGACATGCACTCAACGTGCACTCTTTTCTATTTTTTGTTGTAATTGTACTTTATACCGTTAAAATTCCCCACAATCTATAGTGCCTTCTTAAGAGTGTGGCATAACAATGAATTGTTGATATGATAATTAAAAATAGGACCTTTGGGCTACCTTTAAAAATAAATTATAATTAATCGAGATAATTCATGGTCGATTATGTCTTACATGAATGAGCTGTAACTTTTTTTTATACGAGTTATAACTTAATTTTTAAAAATTGAAATTTTCAAGATAAAATGTAATATTTTGAAATTGATCATGTCTTTTGTAATTACAATTTATATTTTAAAAAATTATAATTTTTGATACATTGTAGTAAAAGAGACAGCAGAATGGTGTTATTTAGTGACAGCAAAACAGAACAAGTCATCGTCAAGTAGGGTGGTCTAGTGGGGTACCGGTCTTACTCCTCATCTTGAGGTTGGGAGTTTGAATCATGGAGTTTCTATTGGAGCTTGATAGTTGACCGCTATGTTAGCCTAACTAGGTCTGGTCCTGAGAGGCGTTCCAGACGTAGTCAAAGGCCTCATGATCCCACCGGTGAGGGCCTATCGGGGTGGTCGTTAGACACTCTTCTTTGCCTCCACCCTTTTTTTAAGTATCAAAAAAAAAAAAAAAACTGGAACAAGTCAATTAAAGATAAATTGCAATAGCATTATAAACAAGTAAATTACAATAAATTCAGGTGCTACAAGACAATGCAATATGTGTGATATTATTAGCATCTGAAAAACAACTGTAGCCATTCCAAGCACAGGTGACTGCATCAGGCTTGAATCACTTCAAGCCAAAAAGGTTAGATATATGCATTTTTTTAGTTTGTGTGGAATTTTTTTTCAATTATAATTAATCCAAAAAATTAATTTTATATATTATCATGAATTGGGTAATGTTATATTAATGCCCATTTTTTTTAGTCATCGATAATATTGGGGGTGACATTTTATTCATTAATATGAATACGATACAAAACTCGTAAATGAAACGATCAATTAATACGAATAATAAATATATCAAATTAAAGTTAGACACGAATAGTCCAATTGACTTGTATATAGANTCAATTAATACGAATAATAAATATATCAAATTAAAGTTAGACACGAATAGTCCAATTGACTTGTATATAGATATCTTATCAATGTAACATAATCTACCCTCCCCGTACTTTATGTCATGAGTCCTTTTTTAATAACTTAATTCTTAGTTAACTGAAATTTTTTTAAAATTTCTCAAGTGTCCTAAATTTTACTCTCATCATTTATTGCTTTCCCGTCTCTCTCTCTCTCACACACACACATACTCTCTCTCCTTTAAATTTATCTTGATTATTTGAAGTTTTTATTGGGGCCCAAATGACATGATATCAATCAAAGAAGCTTAAGTCAACTGTCATGTCATTTGAGCTCCAAATTTGTTCCAAAATTTGGTCAGTCTAGCGTTACTCTTACTATATATTATAGCAATCAATTTGGGAGAGATGATGCTTATGAAAACGAAACTTTCCCTCATCAATTACTAATTTTTTTTAATTTTAATTATTTAATAACAATACATCGATCTCATCATATTAAATAATTTTATATGGCTTTTGTAACAACTCTCACAAAAATTATTTTATTTTAACCTCCTTAATTAAGCACAGTAATGATTATTTTTTTTAAAATACTAGGGTCATGATAGTATAAGGGCGAGTTAGGGTGGCGGTGGTAGTGGTGGTAAGAGTGACAAAAATGTGATGGGAGGAAAATATCATGCATCAAATGGGATATATATATAGTATTATATAAGTTATTTTATAATTAAATAATTTATTATTGACACGAACACAACATAATTAAAAATGGCATAATTCAAAAATAATACAATTGAAATGACACAACACAATATCGGATTGAATTTGTTACATTATTTTCAAAGAACAATATTATTGAGACATAATTTATTATGGCATTTGTATTAATTGTAAGTCCCAACAAATAAACTCAAATTTTTAATGCTAAATAACATTGTTGATTTCCAAAACAATCACATTTAACAGGAAAAGTTTACACGTTTTAATCTGTTAAAACGACCAAAGTGTGATTCACCCAAAAACCAATAATCAAAAATTATTTTTTCATAGGGCATCAAGTTTTCATATCACTGTCCTACGTAGATACACGTCAACTTCCAGTCCAAGACATTAATACTGTGGAATGGAATACTTTCCTGGTTCTGTAGACCCCACACTATAGTCAGATTATGAGAAATGAATTAAGGCTTATGATTGTGGGATTGCAATACAATCGCAGGAAAAGATTCACAACATCTATATAATAAAATAGAAGAGGATTTAAAATTTTATCTTACACACATTTTTCTCTTTAAAACCATCTTATCACACCCATCATCTCCCTCTTAGCGTTACTTTGTACACCCAATACACAGACACTGCCACACACAAGTTGTCAGCCCCCTCCCTCTCTATGCGAAACCCCTACCCCCATGCCCCCCTCTCTCTCTCTTTCTCTCTCTCAAAGCACACACACTGCGCCAAACGCCATCGTCGCCTCTCAGCCACAGCGCCAAATGCCACATGCCACCGTCGCCACCACGCAGCTCTCAAGATCCCTCTCTAACTACTATCTATAATAAGTCAAATGAAGTGTTTTGTCTTACACAGTGCCTTTTATTCTATATAATATGTCTGCCAAAACAATGACTTCTAATATGTTTCCCAATAAATGTAAGTCCACTTAATTCATGGATTTAACTTCAATATAGGGATATAGTTGTTATAGTTTTTCCCGAAGACACGTGTATTTGTATTGAAGGTTTATGGAAGTTCTTATGTGAGCAAGGTTGTCTATAGGTTGTCTATATGTGCATGCTTAAGTTTTAGTTTTACGTGAGCAAGGTTGCTTGAGTTCTCACGTGTGTGTGTGTGAAGAGAACTGTTGTTTTTTCTATGTTGGATGTGGTGTATAGTTGATATTCAAACTTTTGTGCTCCTATTGTGGGTTAATATTTTTATTTATTTTTTTGCGAATGCCAGTATTGGACCCAAGCATATATCATGTAGTTCTTTTGGAACCTGGATCATAATTCCAAGTTCTCAGTTTGGAAGTCATCCCAATAATTCATTGCATCTCATATTTTATCCCATTATTTGACATCACTTCGACTTTTTCTTCCATTGTAGGATTCTTTGATAGAGATTTCAACTATAGATGCATCTAAATTGGAACATCAAGTTGTTGTCTCGAGCATAGATTAAGAATGGTAGTAACATGAAGAAGTATGGTAATTTGTCATAGGTGTTCTTCTAAACTTAAAATAAAGTGATTATTTATTTTTTTTGAATGAGTACATGTTCTTATACACATGCACACAATACACCATACCCACATGCACAAACACACGCACACAACACACCATACCCACACGTACAAACACACGCACACAACAATGCTCTCAGCCTTGTTTCAAAATTTTGACTCTTTAATTTGTTTCGAATTAGTAGAGAGACATTAAATTTTGGGGGTTTTATATTTTTGGTTCCAATTTGGATTAAACATATTAATTGTGTTTATGTTTACTATTTATCTGCTTGGTTTATGGGTTACATAGTGAATGAGCAAGATTGAGTAATGGGCAATTGTACTGCTTTGACAGTATGGAGGATGGTAAATTTTGGTTTTTTTGGTGATGTTCTTGTTGAATTTGTTGCTTA